TTCGCTGCTGCCCCCGCGCGTTGGCGTCGGCGAGGTCCAGCGGTCCAGCGGGCCGGCCCCTTTCCCGGCTGGGGACCCCGGGCTACGGACCTCGCCACACCTCGCCTCCCCGCCTCCCCGCCGCCCCGGCCTAGCGCCACTTGAGCACAACTAATACCCTCTAATTTTTCAATTTCACGGGTATCCCCATTACTCCATTGCATTTCCGCTCGCGCTCGCGCACGCGCCTACGCTCGCCGGAATATTTTAACATAAATTGTATTGTAATTGTGGCGGTATGTACGACGTCTCGTAATTCGTTTCGTAATAAGCATCACTTACCTCGCCAGATAAATTCCCGGTCGGAGCGAGCGATGGGGAACGGGCGGGAGGCAGCGGGGTGCGAGACGGGCGCGATGTGCGGTGGAGCCCCAGTGCGCTGGTCGGCGGCCGGGGCTTGTGAGGAAGCAGAGTTGCCAACCTGCGAAATGTGTAATGTCCTCTATTGCTTCTAGCGCAGGCAATGTAGGAGTGGGATTGTCTTTGATGAATTATTATATTCATATTACATTTGGAACCGAGATATCTCGAATTAGAAAGGGAAAAGATAACATAATTATCTAACGCATCGATATAACAAAGTTCTAACTATAAAGTCACCTAAAGCTAACAACCACCACAGGCTAACTACCAACTATCTAACTACTTCTTCTAATTGCTAGGAAATCGAGTTATCTAAATTCAAGCTATCGAGGTCCAATTTTTATTAATGTATTCGAATTCTGGATACGTTATTCTTACAAAAATTATCGAGAAATGAGGCATGTTATCTAGAGCTACATTTACAACTTCTCCTATTCCACCGACTCGAAATACAGAATTCCAGATAAATTTACTTTATATCAAGAATGAGAAATCACCAAAGACTTTAAATGTTTACAAAGTTCTGTCTGGCTAGGCCAAATGTCAATAAGGGCAATAACCTCAGTTCGAGATGAATGGACAACACCAATATTATGCGTCATTTCTCTGTGACATTTATGAGAAATGGCGACATACGTTGATCAGATATGATATTAAAGGACTTCATTATAATGAAATATTTTTAAACTATCTAACTTCAAACTAAAAATCATATTGTGTATTTTTAATAAACTCAATTGCACGGTTCCCTACTTGAAATTTGACTGAATCATGCAGGTTTAGATATTGTGCTGTAGAAGAATTCTATCTTCGACGTAATTCATGACCGTGATGATGTATTCTAGTGACGTGAGCTGTACAGCGTTACAATATGGAAAATTACCATAAAATACGACGTGCCCGCATAACCGTGGTAAGCTTGTTTATGTTGTTTATGCGAAACAAAGTATCTAGGGTAATACTCCTAATCAGCATTAACAGTTATGGAATATGAACATATGGGTCCCTTTATGGATATGAGTGTATAATTGAATGGGCTTTTTGTTTATTTGTAAATTTTTAGGAACCGTTAACGAAGTGGAAACAGGGGCCAGTTAGTTTGAAGAATGACAACGGGCTCTCCTTTAGACTCAGAACAGTATCAACAAAGATCTACATCGACATAGTCATCATTAAAATACTGAATTAATAGTTTTCAACATTGACTTAAGATATTACAAAATGACTCAAAATAATTATTTTCAATGCGCTTTATTTTATTTAAAAAACAACAAGAAGAACCAAGTGACGTGTCGAGAAAAATACGATCTGCTTAAAGAGTTAACATAAACTCGTCAGACGTTCTTCAGATAGCAGTTGAGCTCGATGTCACGATATAATCGATTCGCCAATTCTGGAACCGATTGTGTTCACGCCAAAAGTCAAGTTATTCGATACTTCAAGTGTGAGAAGCATTGCAATGCCCCAGTGCACACATTGCCCAGGGCGGCAATAGCGACAGGTGGAGCCAGCCCGCTTGCTATCGTTACGCGATGAGACACCGCGAGCAATTGCTAGAAATCCCGGCAACGATCCGCTTGCTTTACGACACTTTCGTTTCACGTGGTTCAATATTCACGCTCGCTCGCCGCACTTTGCTGTACTGCCCGCCCGCTGCCACCGCCGCCGCCGCCGCCGCCGCGACTCGTTTATAATAAAGCGTACCATTTAACTGACAGATGGCAAATTATTTTCACCGTTAACATCATATCGATGGCAACCTGCCAGAAGGGCGTTGCTGGTAGTTTTAAAACTGTTTCACAGCTCTATATTGTCGGTAAACATCGCGAGGGAAGAGTATGAGTTAATCAACCTCAGCTTTCAGGAGTGATGTGCTTGTGTTTTGTTGCCATAAAAATAGAGTGAAAGTGTGTGAATGGGGTTTCGATGCTTATTTTAATACCGAGAGATAAATTTAATTATTTGATAACTTTGCATATTCAATTTAGATTAATTTAACATGCCTAATGCTATAGCGTACACACAGTAACTGAAGTTTAGTAGCAAGGTTCTGGGTTGTCCCCTCTCTAAACCATTTTATCTCTTCACAGATAGCACGATACGAAATAAGGGCCGAAATCCGCTGGCTATTTTCAGGATATAAATAATTTGTCTCTTCAAATGCTTAAAACTATGTGACTTCTCCATATTTTAACGAGTGTATTATAGATCAAAGAAAAAATAAATAATTGCAATAGTAAATTTTAAAATTCTATTTAAAAAAACAAACAATCTTCCAGCGTTTTTCAAGCTATCGCAAACAGAAATATCTACGCCAAAATACAGCGTATATTAAAATTTTACGAGAAGGAAATTTTGTTTAAAATTAAACAACGACATAACGAGAGAATTTGACAACCTCTCGTGGACTCCCCGCTGAGTTTGCCTCACTAAACGGTTGCTCTGTCCATTCATTTATCGCTTTTTAAATAGGGGGCCACTGAGTTTTAGTGCTTCACTGAAATTCGAGGGATTTATGAAAATGATTCGAGTTAAAACCTTCCTGCCCATTAACAATCCGACTGTTCCCCGAAACACTAATTAAACCGCGACTAAGCGGCTGCCAGCGCCGAAAACGCATAATGAAATAATAAGGAAATTTTATCTACCGTGGAAAAAACACGGAGCCTATATATAAATTAAGAATACTTAAGAACGGTAATAGTCGAGAGTGGGGAGGGGACCTGTAATCCTCCAGACGTCCGAAGCCTTAGGCAGCAACCCCCCACACCAAGGGCGGACTCATGTTGATCACAGAGTCCCGAAATTAAGCCCATGGTATTACCATATAGACGGCATCCGCGTACGCACTCTTGATGGTGCTAAATATGACACTTTCCAGCTTAATTTTTCCGTTAAATACTATCGATGCGGAAACCATAAAAATTTTAATATTTCCTCCTAACCGTTGCCAAGTTCTTGGAAGCCGACCCGCCGCTATTAGGCGTGTAAAAGTGTAAAGGAATTTACACGAATATTAAGATGATAATGGCGGCAGGCAACATTCTCTTTTCGTCGTCGGCATACGGGAACGACGTATAGGGGACGGGTGGGTAATGAACGATAAACGGAGTTACGAAAGACAATTGATGGTCGGAGGGGAAGGGGGAGCGCTGGCGCAACGTCCCGCTGTTTTCATAACGCGAGCGTCGAAACACACATGCGTAGCAGTTTGCGCGTCGTCCTCGAGTTGGCACTTCATATGCAGGTACTTCATAGGTAATTGACTGGACTACGTCGGCTCCTCCGTATCCAGTTGATCGTCCTAGGCCTAAAAACTCAGGGGGAAAGTTCTGAGACAATTTGTCAATAAAACGCAAACACGCATTACTATCGTAGAGCCTTTTGAACGTATTGGTGTGATATTAATATGTAGTGGTTTATTAACAAAAAATATTCATTAACAAAAAAATAATCAATTTGATAACGTTCAAAAATCCAACGAGCTGTATTATGTACAATCATATTTAAAGGTGTTGGATAGTTACAATCGTGACATGCACATTGCAATTAAAATTAAGTTCAACAATAAAATTAATGTCAATTTTACAATGGATAATTAAATGACATATTATTGCAATATATTCGTTGAGTTTCCTACCTAGATTTTACAATAAAGTAAGTATAGAAATAAATGTTTCACCGACAATTTTATTAGAAGTTTTCCAGAAGATTATTTTCTGATGTTTACATATCACACAAAAACAATCATAACAAATTATTCGTGAAATACATTTTATTTTGAAATAAATTTAAATCCTCATTGTTATAATGAAGTAGGAGAATAATCAACGCATTTCATTCACAGCAGGACCCTATCTAATACTTTAAATAGAAAACTAGCTTATCAACAGGGATACACCTCCAAAGTCACATGGAACGATCATATTCCATATTTATTCGACTCCGAAGGAAAAGTAGTTTCAATGGAGGTACTCATAAAATTTAAGCGGTATAATTATTTCCAATTAAACTTTCTCTTCAAACACAAAGGTGATGTGATAAACACATCCATTTATAAAGTAACGCAAATTATGCAAAGTTTGTAAGCGCTGAGGAAAGACTGTGTTACGAAATTCTCCGATACGTAATATGTTCTGTCCTACTTAAGATTGTTTCATCTCTTACATTTAAAAAAAATTAAATAAAAAATATAATAATTATAATAATTATTATATTTTTATAATATAATAATATTTATATAATATAATAATAATTATTATTTGCTCGTTATTAACACTAAATATTTGTAATTCTTAAACGTTCTCTAATAATGTTCTACAATTTCTTCATAAATATTTCTTAAATCCCCGTAATTCTTAGCAAGAATGGTTACATCTGAACTCATGGTGTGCTTAATACCCCAGAATGGAAAAGAATTATTGATACGAACGAAGTAAATTGGAGACAGTGAGGAGGTTTGGTATCTGACTCAAGCGAGTCCTTACTTGAAAGTACCGAAGCACCACTTACTGTCTTTCGTGCAACACCTTTTACAGAGAATGCCATTACTCAGCTCCACATATACCCTTAGCAACTTCCCTATTGCTCTACCCACAGCGACATTTCTCTGGAGGCTACAATTTTTTCAAGCCCCGATAGAGAATCGAAGCTGTTCTTTTGTACATCGAAGGCAAGCATGCAATGAAAGCCATGGCTAGCTTGCGACATATGGGGGCACTTTACCACTTAGGTACTGTTATATTATACACTTTACAAAATTTGTGTCAGTAAGCCTTTGCCACGGAGTTTTGAAGGAGCTTGTTACGAGCTCTCCCCAAAACCAGAAGCAGCAAACGCGCTCCCACGTCGCTCTGTATGTTTTCGGATATGGACCGTTTACCACACGTCTGGGCGTAGCCAGTGAACGAGAGCTCGACTTCAGAAGTGTACATGCAAACGGCTTCTACCTACCCACCTCTCAAAGTTTATGTTCCACTTCGCTTAATTGGGATATAAACCCGTCATGTAAAGTCGCTTTCCGAAATAAGCAAACACACCGTGACATGTGCTTTTTGT